AATCTTGGCATTCTGTGCATTGTGCTAAGAACCAGGACTTTGGAATTTTTCATGGACAGCTACAGTCGTAATTACCCTATGTTTAAAAGTCTGCATTGAGGGGAATAAGTCAATGATCTTAAATTCACATCCAGTTCTTTTATCGATATGATTCACTCATTCGCATCAAAGTAGATGTAATCTTGGGAAAAACCTGTGCTGAATCTCAGGAAGGAGAAATGGCTGGGGTAAAAGGGAGAATATAATGTTTATCACATCGTAAAGAAACTTCCCAGTGGCTTCAAAGTGTCCTGACGGCTTCATCCTCCCCCAGCCTGCAAGGCAGACCCCCTGTTCCTGGCTTGCTGCTGCTTTTTTCTCTGTGTGTGTCTTGGTCAGGCTCATGGACCAGGGAAGGAGGAAGGGTGACTGTCCTGCTGACTTGACGGTGGCGACATAGGAACGAAATGCTCAGGCCCAGTTTCACCATCTGCCCCCTTTGTTTGTAACTTTTGCTGAACTGGAATATGTGTACTCCTTACACAAGTATATTCCAGAGCTTTCTGACTCAGCTACTGTGTGTTGAATCTTTACTTGAATATTCTTTAGTTGAATCTTCAACTCCTGGACTCAAGTGACCTCCTACCTCAGCTCCCAGTTACCTGGGAAGACAACACCGTGACAAAATTAATGCTTACAGTTAGAAACACGCAAGGGATCTACTTTGAAAACAAGTCACACAATAAGTTAATAACTTTTAGGACCATTCCTTCAAGTTCCTGTATATTTTCTACTTCAGTCTATGCAAGTGACTCTGCATGAAGTTCTTTATGTCACTTCTGAGCTCGAACTGCATGAAGCAGTTGGGACTTCCAAATGGCTCCACTGTGGGCAAAAGAGCACACAGCGTACCTGTGTTTCTCGGTTCTGGAGGGTGTAACCCTGGAGTGGACTGGAAGGCCGCTGGGTGTGTGTGTTCTTTACTGGGTGCCAATTAGCCAATAAGAACAGAAAAGGGCAGCTGGGAGCTGCTACATAGAAAGAGAACTTTCGTGCTCACAGTGAGATCTGGTGTCACGGCTCAGGCAGCCGCTCGTCAGCTCCCATTTCACTGCCCTTCTGCACATCTGTGGAGCCAGAGGCTCACTACTGAAGATGCAGGTTGGCAGCTCCAGGAGGTCCCTTTGGAACTGTTCCAAAGAGCTGTTTCCCTTTCCTTGTGATGCTATGGCAGCCTGGTACAGCACTCTAATTCCTTCCTGATCGCTCTCTTCCTCTCCTAGAAGGGGCTAGGAAAGGAAATTTTAAAATGGAATCTTGCCCTTAAGGACCTTACAAGCTCTGGAAGCAGTATCTCTACTGCAAGTTAAAATGGGCAAGGTCGTTTTTTAAAATGTGTAAGCAGAGATTATCTTTTAAGACTGGCAGTCCACCTGTGTTAAGCACTGTATTCTTGGATGTTCAATGAAATATAACTTGCCATTTCCCCCAACAAGTCCCTTTATCAAAACTTTGTTCTAAACACTCATCAGCTGGTCAACTAGATTAACCTCAGTTCAGTGCAAATACCAAAAGAATATATTTCTATTCCATTCTGTCCGTGAAGGGTCCCTATGCTCCACTGCAGTAAATTTGCTCAGTTACTAAGAAGATACACTGTGCTTGTCTCTCCACACTTGGATACACCTGTCATCTCTCAAGATATTTGCTACAGAGTTTGGTTCTACCTGATTGGTACAATTATTTATTCAGTGAGTATTTGCTTAACTCACTGTTGCAATGAACATTGTACCAGATTCTGGCTATCGGATGAAGAGAACACTGCATATGGGCCCTGTCTTCAGACGGTATGGCCTCAGAGAGACAGCCTGTTCATAGGGTCCACAATATAATCTCAAAAGATGACATGTGCATGGGTTTGAGAGCATCCACCAACACATTCGGGCCCAGGCGTGACCTCACAATGAGACCCCATTTGCAGATGTGACCCATCATTCATCCTTCTGAATGAGGGTGGCTCCTGAACCAAGTGTTCAACATTGTTTTCAGATAAAGGATGAAGAGATTCAGATACACAGGCAGGGAAACCCATCAGGAAAAACAGGCAGGGAGGAGTAGGTATGGCACAAGCCAAGGTCTACCAAGACCTGCCTGGACTAACCAGGAGCTGGGAGAAGGGATTCTTCCTTGGAGCCTGCAAAGGGCGCATAGTCCCTCTGAAATCCTGACCTCCACTTCCAGCCTCTGGAATGGGGAATGATTGGCAACTTCTGTTCCATGACACCACCAGGCTTGCAGTAACTGGTGGCAGCAGGTGGTCCCAGGAGACTGATATAACATGTGTTAGTTTGACCCTCTAGAAATTGCTTTGACCCACACAGATAGCAGTATTATGTGGCCCAGATGAGCATCCTGTGAGCTCTAGAAGGAAGACTGCTGGTTAGAGGCAGCTTCTCCAAGGAATTGTGAAAGGAACGGAAATCTGAGGAACAAGTGGAACTCCAGGTAGAAAGAGGAAGAGGAGGCCCAGCAGAAAGCAGAGCAGGTACAAAAGTCCTGAGGCAGAGGGTGACAGACTTTTCAGGAAGTGAAAGAAGATGTAACTGCTCCACAAGGCGAGCAGGGGCTGCACAGGCAGAGAGGAGAAAAAACAGTCCTGGGAGCCTCTGGGAATGGTCTGACTTCTTCATTTAAAAGCAGTGGGTACCACTGAAAGCAGTGGATACCGTGAAAATTTTCAAGGCCAGAGGTGAGATTTCTTTCCCTGAATAATGGAAAACAGATTAGAATGAGCCACAACAAAGAAGGGGAGAGACAGGGCACAAAGGAGCCTCAGTGAGGTCCTTGGCTAGGCAGGTGCTGGAGGCTGGAGAGTTGGGAAACAGCCTCACCTTTTCATGTCAGTGATGAGTCATAACAGGCCAGGGATCCAGCCCTGGTGCATCTCAGCCCCGGTGATAGCTGCGTTCTGCTGCCCAAGACGTCCACGGAAGTGCAAGTAGCACCTCCTTTTATCCCCACGTCTCCCTCTGTTCCCTATGCGTTGCACCTGGGCACTCTTCACATCCCTACCTGGGGAAGCACTGCGTTTTTGTTGGCATTGATGACAGAACTCTCTACAGGGTCACACTGTGGATATCCTGAGGTCAAGCACAGTGGCTTGCATATTTTTCCATTCCCGGGAGTCAGCGTAGAATGTAGCTTGTGGATTTAGAAATGACAGCATCAGGGGAAACACGGATGAGTTTCTGAATGAATACTTAGAAAGACTTCATTTTTCTTCTATTGTATTAGCCTCCCTTGGCCAGGAATAACTAAGCACCTGAAGGTCTGGTCTGTCTTAGTAAGCTGGCTGCTTTTCGTTTCTCTGTATATAATACAGTTGTTGGTTTTTATTTTAAACAGTCATCTCACTGACCTTTTAGGAAACAAATTTGTTTTACCTAAGTTTTCAGGGCTAGACAGAATCATTTCTCTAAGGCCCTCACTACATGCAAAAGCTAGGAAGTTTTGTTTTAAGCCTTTGAAGTTAATTCTTTACTAGTATTCTCATCAAATCATCACATTTATGGAGTATGTCTTCTGCATACATCACCGTGCTTAAGTGCTCCATTTAGAGAAGGCAGCCAACAGCAGTGGCCCTTTGCTAAATGAGATTATCCTCAAGGCAGAAAGGCAAAGGCTAAGCACCAAATCAGATAAGACCGTGAGTGGCTGGGGCGAAACGTGTGTGTTATACCAAGCAAAAACAGAAGAGCAATTTCTTTAGCAAAATGAGAAAACCAGACGTCAAGACACGTCTCTCTGTGAGCTCACAGCCAGGTGACAGCTGGGCCATCGATCACGTTAGACTCAGTGTCCCCTGCAAAGCTCAGCTCTCCCATTCCCTCTGGCCGGTTTGTATTTCCAGATGCAAGTAGCAGGGAAAGTTTGCTCTCTTTTCCTAGGATCAAAGTTCTTTCAGCGTGGCTGGGGATTTAGCTCAGCGGCATAAGCACCTGCCTGCCAAGTGCCAGATTGGGAGTTCCATCCTCAGTACCCAGAAGAAAAATGTTCTCTCAGCCTCTAATGCTGATTAATTCTAAGCAAAAGCACACTCAAGGAGGGTGTAATGAGTTCCTGGTTTTGCAGCAGTGGTCTCCAACCTTCCAAAAGTCTGCCCTAATTAGAAAGGGAAGGAGGAAGGAAAGATAAGAGAGTACTCAATAAATCAGCCAGTCAGAATCAGCCTGGGTGATTTCTCCTTGGTTCTGCAGTGGCTCCAGTTGGTGATGTGAAGTCTCTGCCTCCCAGAGTCACAACTTGTAGTTATATAAATACATGTTCTTAAGTAGACAAATCAGTCCTTTTACTTGCCGTTACCCACAAGGTATTCTATAGCATTTAAAAACTAGCAGTTCCCAAGCAGCTCCTCAACCAAACGTGAAGTCCTGCTTCACTAATCAAGTATGTTTTTATTTAGAGCTGTTCTTTTTAATCTGCTAGATTGCCTGACCAATTCTCTTGACGTTTTCTCTCTTTTCAAACATTGCCACATTAGCACGCTTCTGTGGCTCATACTTTTATTCTTCTTCTTCGGATTTCTAACTCTGGCACCTGGAAATGTGAAACAGGTTTTCTTTGTTTGTTTAATCATGTGAGTGACCTTAAGTAAAACTTTTAAAATGTTTATGGGATGAAAAGAGGTTTATGATCATGAGGAATAAGATAACATAAAATTGTCTTCATTTTCTTTTGGCGTTGATTTTTAAATTGTTTTTGTTTTCGTCTCCCAGAAAGTCAGTTACAGCACACACACACACACACACACACACACACACACACACACACACACACATACATAATTTACAGTGATGTGCAGCATGTGAGGGGCACCTTTGGTAGTACTTTGCTGCCATCTACTGGTCTCTTATGTAATTACTCGCGGTCACAATTCTAAAACTAATTTTCTGTAACATACACTATTGGTCTCCCCTTTTTTCTTCTTTCTGTTTTTTTTTTTTTTTTTTTTCTTCCTTTAGTTAAAGCAAAGTGAAGCAAATGCAGACACCAAAGAAAAGCTCCCTTTGCGTCTGAGGATCTTTGAAAAATTCCCGAACAGACCACAAATGGTGAAAATCTCAAAACTTCCTTCAGATTTCACAGTTCCTAAAATCAGGTACTGACAGGTTTCTCTCATTGTCTGTCTCAGTATTATGCTGAGAGATTCATAACAAATCGGGTCCAGCTTCTCCAACGCATACTTGGGTGGGTTTCTTTTCTGATGCTTTTGAGCCTGTATTTTTCTTCTCTACCTCTGTCTGAAGACTTGTGACCCCCAGAAGCAGCGTGTCAGAGAGGAGGCAGGGTAGATCTGCTCCTCCTTGTCCCCCACTTCTCCCTAACTCCATCCCTCCCCACCCCAGGCGAGTGGCGAAGGTGCTCAGTGAGCAGGACAGAGGTCACCTCTGCCCCGCGCTTTGCAGGGATACAATCATCTCTGCAGCTTTTTTATTTCAAGTAAATATAGAAACCACTGCAGCCAGCTCCCTTTGACTACAGCATTTGATTAGACTGACATGTCTGGTCACCAGAGAATTTGGCTTCTGCTGTTTAAAAGAACCACGGCATTTTATATTCATACTCATTTGACATTTCCACTCCAGTTAAGCAAATGAGTTGAATAATAATATTCTATTCCTTTTTAATAATGAGCAGTTCTTCAGGGATAGCTCAGAGAATCACAAGTAAAACCCAGATAATATGAAATTATTTATTTAATTAGTTTGGAAACATCTGGGTGGGGATGATTATAAAAATACGAAACTAGACATGGTCCATACAGTTTAAAATTCCAATATAAAAGTGCGAGACACGAGTAGCCTGATGACGAGGGTGTCTTGTGGGACTGTGCCATTAGACTATTGCATCACCATGTCTGCATCATAAGGCGCACAAACTCGGATGGCTATGACATCACAAGTCACTGGGCTCCTCTTCTGGAGCCAGTGTTGCATTCGAAGTCCATGTATCTTAGAAAATAACAAAATTTAGCAAAATTAATTATTTGAAAAGCTGTTATGTAAATCTTCACTTCGCTTTTGAGATGATATTTTCCTTTATTTGTTTTTATTAATTATCTCCTGCTGGAGATATAATTCAGCAGCACAGCACCTGCCTGGAAAGCAGGAGGTTGTAAGTTTGATTCTCGGTACCAAAAAAAAAAAAAAAAAAAAAAACCTCCCAAAGATTTTCATGATGAATAGCAGTTTGAAAGGAAAAAGTAATTCTTTCAAGTCTGAAGGAAAAGATAAAGTATCTTATTGCCACAGTATCATTCAGAAATGCCATCAGTGACTGAATATCCTTGCTTTAACTTATTTTGGAAACATTGTTTTTGTTAAGCAGAAGTCAATCAGGATTCAGAAGCTTCTGTAAGTTACGTATCTTAGCAATGGAATGTGAGCACTATGTTTTGTGTGGTGTATCTTATTTGCCCTCGTCTTTTGTCCTTGCTTTATCTTAGCTCTGGCAAGCACATCACTGTAAAATGCCATCACCGGCTCATAGCATTAATAACGCTTCGTGTCTTTCTACTTCGTTTGCAAAGGGAGAGTTTTATGAAGCAGTTCATCGATCGCCAGCAACAGGACACGTGCTGCCTCTTCCGAATCCTCCCCTCGGCCTCCTCCTCCTCCTGCGATCACTCCAAAAGGTCGGCCATTGAGGATAACAAGTACATTGATCAAAAAGTAAGAACCACACTCTCCAAGGACCAAACTGTTTCTAAAGTGAATATGTTAAAGAGCCAGTGTCTCAAGGAAATAATGAAAAAAACTCGTTTTATTTGCAAAAGAAATCACTGAGGCAAATATTTTTACCCCTGATCTGAACCAAAAAGCTAAGACATGATTTAAAAAACAAATAAATAAATAAATAACCTGGCGATTTTCAATTATGAATTTAAAACTGGCCTCTTCGTGAGCTGTGCTGCATGGCAGCTGTGCGGCCTCGCGTGACTGCACAGCCACTCAGAGCTGAGTCTTCTCACAGGGTTCGGTCCCCGAGCTTCTGTCCAGGTTTAACAGTGACCAGTCTCTCGCCATCCGCCAGCAACCATGCTCAATTATTACATCAGGAAGAAAACTAGAGCAGAGATTGTTAAAACTTATTAAAAAAAAAAAAAACTTACTGCCATCTATTAACCTCTTAGTATATGATGGAAATTGTCTATAGATGTGTTGTCTTACTGATTTTCTGCTTTGTCATTTGAAAAATGGGAATTTTTTTTTCTCTAATTCCACAGTAAAGTACTAGCGGGGAACCCATGTGCACATAAAGCCAACCTAGTTGTTATGTTTTAAAGAAACATAATTTCCTATTTTTTCACTTCAAGAAAATGACATATGATACAAAATGCGTCCTTTAAGTGCAACAATGCATAACCAGGTTTGCACATGTGCTGTACATGGATTATGCTATAGTTTGGAAATATACTCATTACACTCAGTAACAGTTCGGTAGTATAATCAGTTAAAAAATGAAAGGATATCACAGAGTGGGTAAGAGAGGAAACATTACTGTTAGGGAAGCACCCAGTCCACTTGCAAGTGTTTCACGATTCATTTTGGAACTCTTGGTTTGTTTCGTATTCCCTTAAATTATTGCCACACTCTTGCTGTTGTTTATAATGAAAACCACATGTCTGTTCCCATGTTACCTTGATTATGCTGATAAGTGCCTTTGCAGTATGCCTCTTCTTTCCTGAGAACTTCCATTCTTTATTTTTCTCTCAATCATCTGGACATGTTTTTTTTTTGTTTTGTTTTGTTTTTTTTTTAATTTAAGAGGAAAAAGAGAAAAACACAAAACAAACCAAAGCGGCGTAAGGGTACACGCAATACAGAACTACAAAACAAAACAAAACAAAACAAAACAAAAAACCATAACAGTAAGAAATTACCTGCTAGTAGATTACACACTATTTTCTTGAAAATAGTTCCTCAAATCACAGTATCAAAGAACACAAGGTGGACATTCAAACAGGGAGACTGCAAACAGCTGTGTTCAATGTTCCAAAAACATTGATAAAGTCAGCTATTTAACACCCCCAAACACACTTGCTGTTATATCCGTTAGAGCTCTTTTTCTTTTTTTTTTCCCTCTCTTTTTTACAACAAAATTTACACATCTTGGATTTTATTACTCCTTAGTGCTTATTACTTTCTTTGGGGGGGGGAAGAATACAGTCAAATATGGCAAAACAAAGCTGTCAGTCAATACCAAGGATAGACATAGCACATGGTGTAGAACAGAGTACAAGTTTATCAACAATGGTTATCAACGTTGTCCCTTGTTTCCTTAAAAAGAATTGTCTATCTTATTAGATATTATAAAGTTGGACAAAACAGTAGAGAACAAGACCAATAAAACTTAGGCATTGTAAACATTACAGGACTTCCAAAGAAGACAATAGTCAAACCAGAATGGGTATCTTAGTGAATCTTATTGTCTTCAAAGTAGTTGCCTATGTCTTCAAACTTGATACTATCATATAGAATGGAACAGAGTCTAATCAGTCAAAACAAGATCGTGGGAGTACTACAGGACTTCAAAACAAGTTAATAGGAAATCGAAAAGAGTTACTATTTATATATCCTAATTTTTTTGAATTTTTTCTTTAATTAAGACAAACATAAGAAATGACTAAATAATTTTTTTTGAAACAATAAGGGGGAGATTGAGATAAAACAGGACATAACAATATAACAATAGAGGTCACAGCATGACTGTTTCAATAACCTAGTACTTCACCACCTTATAACCTGACTTAATAGTAGTTACCATAGTGTCTTTTTCCTTGAAATATTTGGGTAAAACTTCATATACTCTAGCTTCAAATATTTTCATATCAAGAAGCCCAGAATAAAGCCTTTCTAATTAATGAGTGAAAACTTTATAAGGCTTCAAGGCCACCTAATGGGGAATCATGATTACCACATATTTTTATATATTTGAATCATTACTTACATTAGGGAAACTATTCGGTATTCACACATGCGAGATTGATTTATTTCACTTATGAGTATGGTCTCAAGCTGCGCCCATTTATTGATAAATATCTCAATGTGATCCTTCTTTATAGCTGAATAATACTCCATTGTATAGAAATACCACAACTTTTTTATCCATTCCTCAGTTGATGGGCACTTGGGTTGTTTCCAAGATCTGGCGATTACAAATTGTGCTGCTATAAACATAGGTGCATATAATTCACTGTGGTATGATGCTTTCAGTTCTTCTGGGAATATGCCTAGAAGTGGAATAGCTGGAATAAATGGGATTTCCAGTCCCAACTTTTTGAGAAATCTCCAGACAGATCTCCACAAAGGCTGTACCAGTCTACACTCCCACCAGCAGTGCAGGAGAGTTCCTTTTTCCCCACAGCCTCTCCAGCATTTGTTGTCGGTTTTCTTGATCCTGGCCATTCTTTCAGGAGTGAGATAGTATCTCAGTGTGGTTTTAATTTGCATTTCTCTAATGACCAATGATGATGAGCATTTTTTCATGTATTTATTTGCCATTTGCATTTCTTCATCTGAGAATTGCATATTCATCTCAGATGCCCATTTTTGGATTGGATCTTTGAATTTCGGAGGTCTGAGTTTCTTTAATTCTTTGTATGTTTTAGACAAGAGGCCCTTGTCTGAGAGAGAGTTCACTAAAATCTTTTCCCAGTTTGTGGGTTTTCTTTTCACTATGCTGGAGATTTCTTTTGACATGCAGAAACTTTTTAATAAGAAGTGGTCCCAGTTATTGATTCTGGGAAGTATTTCCCGTGCGGTTTGAGTCCTGTTCATGAATTCTTTACCTACTCCTATGTCTCCAAGGTTTCTACCTATTTTGTCTTCCAATAGATTTAGTGTTTCTGTTTTAATATTCAGATCTTTGACCCATTTAGATTTTAATTTAGTACATGGTGATAGACATGGGTCTAGCTTTAGTTTTCGGCAAATGGAGAGCCAGTTTTTCCAGCACCATTTATTAAAGAGACTGTCGTTCTTCCAGTGAACCTGCTTGGCTCCTTTATCAAAAATAAGGTGGTTGAGTGTGTTCGTAGTTGTGGTTGTATCTTCTAATCTATTCCACTGATCTTCAGCTCTGTTTTGATTCCAATACCATGTTGATTTTACTACTGTTGCTTTGTAGTATAACTTCAAGTCAGGGATTGTGATGCCTCCTGCTTTGTCTTTGCTGCTTAGAATTGCCTTTGCGATTCTAGGTCTCTTCTGGTTCCAGATGAAATTTAGGAGTGATTTCTCTAGATCTATAAGGTATGTTGATGGTATTTCTATTGGGATTGCATTGAATCTGTATAACAGTTTTGGGAGAATGGCCATTTTCACAATGTTTGTTCTTCCTATCCATGAGCAAGGGATGTCTTTCCATTTTCTGAGATCATCTTCAATTTCCTTTTTCAGTGTATTATAATTTTCACTGTATAAGTCTTTCACTTCTTTCGTAAGAGTAATTCCTAAATATTTCATTTTTTTGCTTGCTAATGTGAATAGTCCAGTTTCTCTTATTTCCCTCTCTGTAATTTTGTTGTTCGTGTATAGGAATGCTATTGATTTCTGAGTATTGATTTTGTATCCAGCCACATTACTGAATTTATTTATTGTATCTAAGAGTATTTCAATGGAGTTTAGGGGGTCTTCTATGTAGAGTATCATGTCATCTGCAAACAATGATAATTTAACTTCTTCTTTTCCTAACTTTACCCCTTTTATTTCTCTTTCTTGCCTAATTGCTCTGGCTAGTACTTCCAGTACTATATTAAATAGGAGTGGTGATAAAGGATATCCTTGTCTTGTACCCGACTTTAAAGTAAAGGCTTTCAATTTTTGGCCATTTAGTATGATGCTGGCTGTTGGTTTGTCATAAATGGCCTTTATTATATTGAGGTAAAGACCATTTATTCCAATTTTCTGTAAAGTTCTTATCATGAATAAGTGTTGGACCTTATCGAAGGCTTTTTCTGCATCTATAGAGATGATCATGTGATTCTTATTTTTGGCTTTATTGATATGGTGGATTGCATTTATTGATTTGCGTATGTTGAACCATCCTTGCATTCCTGGGATGAATCCCACCTGGTCATGGTGTATAATCTTCTTGATGATTTGCTGGATCCTATTTGCCAATATTTTATTGAGGATTTTTGCATCTGTGTTCATTAGGGAGATCGGTCTATAGTTCTCTTTTATAGTTGGGTCTTTCTCAGGTTTTGGTACTAGAGTAATATTTGCTTCCAGGAATGACTTAGGAAGGATTGCTTCCCTTTCAATTTCATTGAATAGTTTGAGGAGTGTCGGCATTAGGTCTTCTTTATATTTCTTGTAGAATTCTGCAGTGAATCCATCTGGGCCTGGGCTCTTCTTGGTGGGCAAGGACCCAATTACATTCTCAATTTCATTAGCAGAGATTGGGTTATTCAACAGTTTTATATCCTCTTGATCTAGCTTTGGTACTTCATATGCTTCTAAGAATCTGTCTATTTCTTCTGTGTTATCAAACTTTTGAGAGTAGAGGTTTTCGAAATAGGTGTTGATGATCCTCTGTATTTCTATTGGGTCTGAAGTGATTTCTCCTTTTTCATTTCTTATTGCATGAATTTGAGCTTTTTCTTTCCTTTTTTTAATAAGGTTGGCTAGGGGCTTATCGATTTTATTTATTCTTTCAAAGAACCAAC